GAAGCCATAGCTTCTTTCCTCCGTAAAGACCCTTCTACCCAAGGACTGCCTGAAATGAATGTGGGCTCCTCACACCATATCGCATTTCCTACAGTAATAATGTTTGCGGAGGACTTAACGGTGCAGATACGAGCCTCCAATTCGTCCATGGCAGCCTTAGTCAGAGTAATGGAAGCGTTTAGACTAGCATCAGGAATGAAGATGAATTGGGTAAAGACTATAGGGTGGTGGCTATCCGACGAATAGCACTGGTGGAGATACCGTAATCAATTTGAGGGTGGTAAGGGGTGGTAATTTTAAGCAGTAAGAAAGTGATGTTTTTTTATGTTGCTGCTTGGTATGTCAGGCTAAATATGGCGGCTTTTTAAAGCTGAAGAGGCAGATATCTTTCTCATTGTGTCTTCACATTTTTCTGTAGTTTCCGGGTCCCTTTGGGTCTTGCAAAAAGCAAAACTGGATAAGGCTCCCAGACATTGTCTCATCCGGGTAGATTGTGAGGTCCCCGGCCTCGATGATACTTTTTGAATATCAGCCTTGGGCACTGGGCCCTCTTTGTTTAAACAAAAAAAAAAAAAAAAAAAGACGCCCCCGCTCCCCAGATGGCACAGAATCTCTTAGTCGGTCAAATCAACAAAACGGGGAAGTGGAATCAAGCATTTACATCACTATTGGGGAGGGCACTTGCCATTAACACCTCCATATTCTCAATGATGTGGTACATAGCCTCAATTTGGACTATACCAGACCAGACCATCAAAGACCTAAACAAGAAAGCCAGAGCCTACTTATGGTCAGGGAACCCTAACAAAGAGAACTACATTCCAAAGATAGCCTGGCACTATATCAAAAGGAAACCATCACAGGGGGGACTAGGCATTATTGACCCCAAACAAGAAACGAAAGCCGTGCAAATCAAGTGGGTCATTAAGCTACTGACCAAACAATCATTGCCGTGGAACAAATTAGCACAAGACAGCATCAGAAATCTGGCCCCAACGGAGTCCCTCACTAACCTGTCCGGACTGTTCTGGGTCATGAACAAAGACTGGAATCCAAGATCAGGGAGGAGAAGACGCAGAAGCCGCGTCCCCCCAATTTCGAACCAGACACCCCCCCCCTATTGGACGGCCCTGATACGTATCTGGAGAGAGATCATGCCCGAGAAACGAAACAAATCTAGGTCCAAAGAGGAAGTGCTCAGGCAGCCTCTATTTGGGAACCCTTGGATAAGAGATGAGGGAGACCACCCATGGGCACTCTCCGCCAGAGGCAACAGATGGCTATCGTGGATCACACGAGGGGTCTGGCGAGTAGGGGACATCTGAAATGAGGAAAGAAAGAACTGGTTGGTCGAAAACGAGATCAGAGCTCGACTGAAAGGCTGCCACCACAGGGGAAAAAACCTGCAAAAGATTATACAGAGCATCCCTGGGGGCTGCGTTGAGCTACTAAAGGAGGAATTCACATGGAAAGCGGGTGAGTGGGGAATCTTAATCCAAGACACCTCCCATGAGAGGGCCTACCAATTTTCCCATCAAATCTCAGGTTCAGGTCCAAGAGATGTCTTCACATCCTTCCCGATCCTGAAGACCAAGCCTGATGATCTGTACATCGAGAATATCAACCCAGAAAGAGTAGTGCTGAATGCGTTTATGCTCCGTAAAATAAGAGCGGTACGACTCTGGCCAAAACAGATATTTCAAATAAGGACAGCAATTCAAGACCTCGAGTTTGACCCCTCAGAATGGGATTGGCCCTCCGACCGAAACAGAACTACTAAACCACCAATCCCAATTTCTGATTCTGATTACACAGTTAAGCTGGGTTATAAAATGCTGTTAAAAACAAAGGACCCAGACCCAATCATCAAAGGAAGATGGTGCAAGTTAATTGGTTCTGAGGCAGACCTGATAGCAAAAATTCCATGGAAGAAATATAAAACGATAAGACCCATAAAAATCAGAAGCGTGCAGTGGCTCATAACGTACGTTGCTCTACCGGTTAACCAGTGGTTACATGTTAGAACTTAGAAGAAGAAAGAACGATCCAACCAGCACGGATGTCTGCACAGTTTGCTCAGACCAAGAACAGGAAGATTTGATACACTGCCTGATTAACTGCAAAGAAGCTACAGATTATTGGGCAAGAGCAGCAGCCCTATGGGACAGTCTATTCTCATCTCCCCTCCCAGAACACCCCCTTCAACTGCTCCTCTGGACTAACTTACCCTCGAACCTTGACAAGTCGGAGAAAATCTGGTTCGGTATGGTACGCAAGGTTACGCTCTGGGCAATATGGAAAGAGAGATGCAGCAGAACTCCGGACGGCACGAAGAATCCACGGGAGAAAGTGTGGGCAGCAACCAAAGAGATGATTGAAGCGGAAATCCTGTGTCATTGGAGGAAGGTCAAACGGTGGATGCAAAACAGTCCGGAGACAGAACAGGTGACACTTGCCAAATTCAAACGGGTCTGGTTGGTAGGGGGCAAAGTGGCATGACAGAATGGGCAGGTTTTAAAATGGAAAGAGTGGCATAATTCGGTCAAGTCTGTTTCTCAGCGGAATACCCAGGTGCACGAGGAACCAAATCCAATCTGGGCCTAGAAGAACGCCCAAGATACACGAACGGCAGCCGATGTTTCACAGGGAACAGATCACCAAAGAATTCAGGGGACGACAGCATGCAAAGGAATGGAAGAACTCAGTAGTCCGTCCTTCAGGAATCTTGTTTTCACAGAGTCAATGTGGCAGCAAAGGGTAGCAAATACTGGCAATAGCTGAGAGGATTCCTAGAGGGATGGCAAGCTGACAGTCAATCCTCCATATGATTGGAGCAATCAATGCTGTTCAGGGGTCCTTCGGTCAGACGGAAGGAAGCGTTGGTGTGTGAACTCTTGTATCTTATGGCTTGCCGGGGGAAAGGAACCGGACTGATGCTCCCCAGAATGGATATGGAGCCAGGACCATAAGGCTCTGTTTAAAAAAAGAGGAAGAGGAAGAGGAAGTTCTCTGTGTCGCGCAAGAGGGAAAGACAGTGAGGAAGTTCTTTCTGTCTTGCAATACAGAAAGACGGCGAAGAAGCTCTCTCTGTCGTGCCAGAGAGTGAGACGACGAAGAAGAACAAGAAGGAGAAGAAGAAGAACAACAACAACAAGGTCGCGGCGAAGGTGGCTGAAGGGGCAATGGCAAGGACGACGATGACAGCACTGTGACAACAACAACACAACGACGACAACGACAGCAGTGTGATGACCACAAGGCTCCCCAGAATGGATATGGAGCCAGGACCATAAGGCCCTGTTTAAAAAAAGAGGAAGAGGAAGAGGAAGTTCTCTGTGTCGCGCAAGAGGGAAAGACAGTGAGGAAGTTCTTTCTCTCTTGCAATACAGAAAGACGGCGAAGAAGCTCTCTCTGTCGTGCCGGAGAGTGAGACGACGAAGAAGAACAAGAAGGAGAAGAAGAAGAAGAAAATAACAACAACAACAAGGTCGCGGCGAAGGTGGCTGAAGGGGCAATGGCAAGGACGACGATGACAGCACTGTGCCAACAACAACACAACGACGACAACGACAGCAGTGTGATGACCACAAAACCAGATGCCACCAGATGCCAACTTGAGGTGGGCAATTCAAATTCGAAATTGAATGCCACTTCCAGTGGACAGGCCAGCCCCTTCCGAGGTCCAGTGTTGCAAACGGTGATCACCGACGATCCATGGCTGCGTTTCAACAAAATCTGAGGAAAAAAACAAAACAAAACAGGGGTCATTTTCTTTTTCTCGGTGCGTGGCGGTGCGCTCTAAAGATCCCTGCGGGCCACCAGGTCGCCTACCAGGTCCAGAATTGGTCGGGCCCGCCATGCGGAGCGCCTGGCTGCCTGACTGGGAAAGGTCGAGGGTGCCGTGGTGCCCGGTGGAGTATGCCCTTTGTTTTTTTTTCACTTTTTTCAAACTTTTTCGCATTGTCTTCTGGTTCGGTCTTCTCAAGGGGAAAAACAAAAAACAAAAAACAAAACAAAACAAAACAAAACAAAACAAAAGTACTTTAAAGAAGACATTTAATTGAAAGTTGTTTTAAATGTTTTTGCTTTGTCGTCTGGTTTGAACTCCTCGAAGGAAAAGAGCTCGCACCTGCAACGGTAAGAGGCTTCCTAGGATCAGTTGGCACATCATCTCTTGGTTTTGCCAACTCAGTTTGCACAGAAGCAGTTGGGGCCAAATTTTTCCGCGAGTGGTGACAAATTGACAATGCTCATCATTTTTATTTTATTTTATTTGCCTTTTTTTCATTTGTCTTCTAGGCTACCAGCCGGGCGGCCCGTGTCACCTTATTTTCCCAGGTGGGCCCGGGCGTGCAAGGACCAAAGAAGGTCCCAGCAAAAAAAAAAAAAAAAAAAAAAAAAAAAAAAAAAAAAAAAA